TTCAAAATACAGTTAAAAATATATTAACTATAATTATTTCCAGTTTGATTGTTTGTAATTTGATAACTGTATTATCTTTAAATGGTGACCAGATGATATAGAATCATATTTACGTGAATTGACTGGTTTTTGTCTGTGGATCTGTTACCATTCTGGTAATGCTTTGAGATAAAATTGTAAAATACCCAGCTTCCGAAATATGTTGAAATATAGCCATTCAGTATATTTTATAGATAATAACAATAAATATTCTAGCCATGAAACTTTATTAAGTTTTGGGGAAAAATACTTGCAGAGGCCTAAACTCAAAGCATAGCTAGGCTGCTTAAATCTCACTGAACTGTGGGATTCAGTCACTTTATGTATTGGATTACAGCCAAAAGATTTACGAATCCTGTGGTTCATTTTAATGGAGCTTCAGAGTAAAAATATTTTCATATAAAACTATGTAAAATAACAATTTGACGGAAGGTGAGCTAATCTGGTTATCAACAGGATTATAGGCAAATAGACATAAGCAGTGAACTTTGAGGGGAGAAAAGATTGTTTTAGCACAGTCACTACCTGTTGATATGATCTTTATCCAGAGGATGTGATAGGCCATCAATGCAACCTGAGCAATATTTAAATCATTGCTTAATCTTCTCTGAGGAGCCTTTGACATCCTGGTATAATTATACCTACTATATATGTGGAGATCTTGATTGGTTTTTATAAGCTTGCAGAATATTGCAATGCATTCTACCTCCAACAGGTATTGCTCCAACAAACTCTGTTTCCTCAAGGACGTTACTGTATAAGGGACTCAAGCAAACCAGCACCAGATTTTTTTTTTCTTAGAAGAAGAAAAAAACATCTTAGCAGTTCAGCCACACAGTCCTCGTGTATCAGAGCAATCAGCATGCAAACTAAGCCTGTGTTGTAAACTGCAGGAGATCACAAAACCTCTGGATTATGATCAGATGGCTTTTAACATTCAAGAAGCTGTCACTTCTTAGTTCAGCCCTGACATTAAACATCTATGGGTTCTGGAGGCTACTGAGCATTCTAAGTCATAATTGGAATGCTCAACTGGGGAATAAAAGTATTGCTCCCTCCCCTTTTTTAATGTTTAAAATGTTTCATATCTCAGCTTGGTAATATTCCCTTCTTAATCTTCCAGTTGTCCTGTTTTGGATACAGCCCTTTCAGCATTTAATCACCCAAGATCATTTTTAAATGGAACAAGTGTTGATAATGAACGTTTGTGCATGTAATTTGAGGTCAGTCCACAATATAATGCTGAGAAATTGTGTGAAAATAATTGGATCGCTATAAATACTGTACTGTTTATTTTAGGAAATAAGGAATTATTTTCAATTTCCAATCAAATGCACACATTCCTAGAAATGTAGGATATGGTCACAGTGATGCATGTTAAATTATATCCTGCCTGGATTGTTCCTTAGTACTCTACATGAGGTTGCCTTTACAAACTGTAAAGTAACTTAAGCTGGTCCAGTATGCTTGGTGTTGGTTACTAGGGATGTGTCACTTCCTTGTTACAACAACTTCATGGGCAGCTCAGCTGTTTCCAGGTACAATCAAAAAGTGCTGGTTATAACCTATATTACTCTATTCAGAATAGGAATAGGCTGAAGAGCATTTTATCCTGCATGACCAGAGTTGTAACTAACAGGTTGGCTATCTAGGCAAGCAAAGGAAAATGACTTTGTAATTCATGGTGTAAAAAAAATATACAAAGTTATAAGAGCACTGAACACCTGGCAACAGCTACATAGGGCAGTGGTTCCCAGCCTTTGGTCCCCAGATGTTCTTGGACTATAATTCCCAGAAATCCTGACCAGTACAGATAGTGATGATGGCTTCAGCGAGTTTTAGTCTTAAGCATCTGGGGACCCAGTGCTGGGAACCACTGCCATAGAGGACCAATTTGGTTGTCAAAAATATAACAAAATAAACGCGTGTTTTACCTACTCACTTGCACAGACTAGTCCAGACACCTGGTCTACTGATAACTGGTACAGCTGCCTTAAATTGCCTCAGTTGGGTTTAATAAAAACCCACTTTTCCACTGCTCTCCTCCACCAATCTAGTTTGCCACTCTGTTTCCTTATGGAAGTCTATGGGAATGGACTCTGTGGGTGTGGTGCTCTGGAGCACAGTCCTAGGTGTACCTGGTCTGCTTATTGGACTGCTTTGGTTTTAAGGGAGAAGTATTTCTCTTGGTCCTAGTAGATACATGTTTGTGGCTCCCTTTTTGCTCCCCTTGCTACAGCAGGCAAAGTCACTCTTTAGTCAATCAGATCTCTCGTATTTATTTTATTTATTTATTACCTTTTTGTACCATTCATCTGGCTGATTTCTTTTGTTGCTCGAAGAGAGTATAGGTGATGGTTGTTTTTGATTCCTGCATTTTTATTTTATCTGTTTGCTTATGGACTTTAATTGATGCACTGCTTTTATTTGTATTCTTTATTGGTAATTACCTTGAGTACTACTTTTGGTGGAAAATCAAGTGAATAAATAGAGCAGTCAGGTGATTATGGATTATACTATGGGTTACATTGTAATTCAGGGCCAATTCATGGTCGTGTACAGGGTGGATTTAATTTAATCAATGCCATTAGTACATGACCAGTTGGATAAAAACAATAATTTTTTAAAAATAAATTGAATTAACATGATTTAAATTTTAAAAATCAGATTTATTTGACAATTTAAATTTAAAAGAGTTTATTTAAATCAGTTTGATTCAGAAAAAGAATCATTTTATTCACCCTATTATGTACTAGTGTTATTGCTGCACCTACTATATTAATTGGGAAAAAAACAGATTTATTTTGTGAGTAGTTTAGAAAATTAAAATAAGTGCTGATAAATTGTCATATGAAGCATACTCAGTCTTCTAAAGTGTTAAATTAAGCATTTAAAATGGTAGAGGATGTGAATGTTTGTTCCCCATATATGCAAGGCACTTAATAACTACTGCAGAGGGTAGTGGATTAGTGCTAATGAGACCCTCCAGCAAGAAAGAGATGAGGCAATAACTTGAGTTTTTCTGATGAAGCTTTAACAGAAAGGACATTGTAGCCATCATCAGACATGAGGATGGAAAGGAAACTAATGCACAGCATTGAAAACACCATTTATAAAACACACACACAAAATGGTTTGGTTTTATGTTAGTTGAAAGGGTAAAAAAAGAAGAAAATTAGACCTGAATGATCAAAAAGTGTGAGTCTACAGAGGGTTGTAATGAGTCATTTTAGTGAATATTGCTTGATGAAATATTTATTTGATTTTCAGACCTATCTGGTTGTACTAATGTCTTTCAGAAGCGCTCTTTTGTTTTCATTATGGAATGCAGCCAATATGGAAGTAACATAGACTGTGATTCTTATTCCGGTTGATGCACTTCATGAAGTAATTTGTTGCCAGCATTTCTGGTTTTTTCTCTCCACCTGGCTATAAAAGATCAAACGTATTTCTGAGAATGTTTTTTTTGGATGTTTCTCTATGCTATGTTGATGTATGTAAACTTAGTTGGTTTATGTAAATGTAGGTTCCTTAATAACCTCAAACAGCATGTCTTGAATGCAAATTTCTTATGTCTTATGTCTTATGTCAACTTAGTTGGTTTATGTAAATTTAGGTTCCTTAATAACCTCGAACAGCATGTCTTGAATGATTATTGTCTTTTTTACAGGGTTTCTGATGCTAGATAGTTAATCAGTTTTTTAAAAACAACATCGTG